GAGGTATCAAACCTGTGACCTTTCAGTCCACAGGCCAAAGCTCTGTCCTAAGAGACAAACTGGCCAGGGCATGTTTAGAAATTTATGATAAGAACAAGTATAAGAAGATAAAAATAATATGGCATGCTGCAGCATTGAAGATGACTGTCAAAAATATCTTAATTAAAAAATAAAATTAAAAAAATAGAATTTTAAGAAAATTTTCAACATTTCCATTCAAATCTTTTTCACTGCTGATCCACAAAAACCTGCAGTGACTATGCCCAGTCAGATGTCTGTATTGCCTTCTTTAAGTGACGATTCTTTTATCTTTTATTTATATAGGCTCAACTGAAACTGCGATATTAAAGTGATTATGACAATTATGTTGTTATTGGACTCTCCAGCTCCCCTCCCACTTTTTAGACTAATATTTATATGTTAGCCCAGCTGGTGTGGCTCAGTGGTTGAGTGTCCACCCATGAACCAATTCCATTCCCACTCATGGCACATGCCCAGGGTTTGGGGCTCCATCTCCAGTAGGGGGCGTGCAGGAGGCAGCTGATCTATGATGATTCTCTCTCATCATTGATGTTTTTCTCTCTCTCTCTAAAATCAATAAAAATATTATTTCAAAAAATTAAAAAATATTTACATGTTAAAAATTAAAATGAACTATTTTAGTCCTGGATATATAAGAGTGCAGTTGAGAAGCTTGTTGAATCAAAGGCTTTTAGACTTAAGAATAGCTGCCTTAGAAAAAAATTAGGCCCAAAACATACAAATTCATTCTATAAAATATGGGGTGGAGGAAACTAAGATGGCGGCATAGGTAAACACCAGGAAATTGCTGCCTCCCACAACAACTTCAAAAATACAATGAAAAGACAAAATGGACATCATCCAGAACTACAGGAAGGCTGGCTGAGTGTAAATTCTACAACTATAAGAAAAGAGAAAAGCACACTGAGACTCAGAGGAGCTGCGGAAGTAAAGTGCAAAGGTATGGAGTCTCGAACGCGCACGCGCGCCCGTGGAAAGGGGATGGTACCTGAGGATGCGGCTGTCTTTTTGAATCAGGAGGGAGTCACAAGCTCCCGACTGCTCTGAACTCCGGTTCCGGGAAGTCTCTGGGGACCCAGGACTCATACGGGAAGAAACTGGACTGTCTGGCAGCAGGCAGAACTCGGAACTTGAGGGCAGCTTTCCCTCAGAGGTGCTTGCAGCAATTATCAGGACACTGAGACGCGCGGCCCCTTAGGGCAGGGCTGAGGACCAGCCATAGCTGCTTGCTCCGCCCTTTGATTCCCTGAGACCCCGCCCCACCCAGGCTGCGGCAGAGGCTTTTGCATATGAATGCCCTGGCCCTTTGCAACCTGAAAATTACCTAACAAATTGCAGCTGGGCCAGACAGACCCAGAACTTCCAAGAGAAGGCCCAAGGCCCCACAGCAGCTTGCATTGCTTCACAGCTGGGTCTCATCAGGGTACCTCCAAACTCCAAAAAAGGAAGGGGAATCTGCAGTTCTCTTCGTAGCTCCTGCCGGATAACCTCAGGCAGAGTCTAAATTAGCACCTCCTTAGATCCAAGAGCCAGTGTACCCAGTGGTCAGAGGGGGACCATCCGGATTACAACTCCTCAGATCCATAAGGGACACATTCAGTGTGCAGACTCAGTGAGCACCAAAGCCCCATTGAAGCAAGTCTTGCCCCAGAAGGGTGTCTTCAGCACAGAAGTCCTCCCACTGCAGACACAGCTGATTCTCACTGCCAATTGGCCTGGAGGTCAATTCCTCCCAGTGATCCTACAACAATCAAGGCATAACTACATCAAGACTGTGCACAAAGCCCACAAGGGGGTGCACCAAGAGTGTCCACCTCAGGTAACTGGGGAGGCTGAGCCACTGGGCCCTACAGGACACAAAGCACATAAAACTACTCTACCAACACGGAAGCATAAAAAATGCGGAGACAAAGAAACAGGTCACAAATGATAGAAATGGAGGAAAGAAAACGACTGGATATAGAGTTCAAGGCCACGTTTATAAGGTTTTTCAAGAATTTTATGGAAACCGCCGATAAATTTAGTGAGACCCTGGAGGATATGAAAAAAGACCAACTAGAAATTAAGCATACACTGACTGAAATAAAGAATAATATACAGAGATCCAACAGCAGACAAGAGGATCCCAAGAATCAAGTCAAAGATTTGAAATACGAAGAAACAAAAAATACCCAACTGAAAAAGAAAAAAGAAAAAAGATTCCAAAAATATGAAGATAGTGTAAGGAGCCTCTGGGACAACTTCAAGCGTACCAACATCAGAATTATAGGGGTGCCAGAAGATGAGAGAGAGCAAGATATTGAAAACCTATTTGAAGAAATAATGACAGAAAACTTCCCCTACCTGGTCAAAGAAATAGACCTACAAGTCCAGGAAGCACAGAGAACCCTAAACAAAAGGAACCCAAAGAGGACCACACCAAGACACATCATAATTAAAATGCCAAGAGCAAAAGATAAAGAGAGAATCTTAAAAACAGCAAGAGAAAGACAGTCAGTTACCTACAAGGGAGTACCCATACGACTGTCAGCTGATTTCTCAACAGAAACCATGCAGGCCAGAAGAGAGTGGCAAGAAATATTCAAAGTGATGAATACCAAGAACCTACAACCAAGATTACTTTATCCAGCAAAGATATCATTCAGAATTGAAGGTCAGAGAAAGAGCTTCACAGATAAGAAAAAGCTAAAGGAGTTCATCACCACCAAACCAGCATTATATGAAATGCTGAAAGGTATTCTTTAAGAAGAGGAAGAAGAAAAAGGAACTCTTACCATTTGCCACAGCATGGATGGAACTGGAGAGCGGATAAATACCACATGATCTCACTCATTTGTGGAATATAATGAACAACATAAACTGATGAACAAGGACTGATCCAGAGACGGAGAGGCATTGATTCGACTGTTGGGCCTTGGAGGGAAGGTAGGGGAGGGTGGGGCTAAGGGGGAAAGATCAACCAAAGGACTTATATGCAAGCATATAGGCCTAACCAATGGACACGGAAAACGGGGGGTGGGGGGGTGGGGGTGAGGGCATGAGTGGGGAGGGGGGGGGAGGTAGGGGGCAACGTGGGGATAAGGACACATATGTAATATCTTAATCAATAAAAAATATATTTAAAAAAATATGGGGTGGAAAATGGCAATGAAAATTTTATGGTAAATCTATAGGACAATTAAAATAATGAAAATAATTAAAGAAATTCTTAAATCTTACATTGCCAATTGAGAGAAATCCATCAATCAAATGGGAGAGATATATTGGCTTCTTTCATATTAATTCCTGTGGGTGTAAAAAAAACAGGGAAAGAGGGGAAGAAACCTCTCAACCCATAAATGTCAATGAAATGTACCCATTAAGCCCAGCTGGTGTGGCTCAGTTGCTTGAGTCTCTAGTCCCATGCACCAAGAGCTGGCCAGTTCGATTCCCAGTCAGGGCACATGCCCAGGTTTCTGGCTTGATCATCAATGGGAGCGTATAGGAGGCAGCTGGTGGATTATTCTCTCTTATCAATGTTTCTAACTCTCTCTCTATCCCTTCCTCTCTCTGTAAGATCAATGAAAACATATTTTAAAAAGAAATGTATCCATTAAAATTTTTGATCTATATTAAATGTTTCTAAACTATTAATTTCACCTTGAGAAAGGAACAAGAAGTCCACAAGCTAAATTCCTAAGCATTAAACTTGTCTAGATTGTCACTATCAAAGATTGGTTTTCAATGGGCACAAACTGACTCCAAAATAGGACTAAATAAGCCTTATTTCTATTGCTGTGCATTTCTACTGAATTGATTCTAACTGCTAATGTGGTTAGGAAAGCAGTTTCTGCTGTTGGCTACAAAATTCAAATTATCCATATATGCAACAAACTTCAGAAGTTGACAACAGGGCCTTCATGACCGAGTTCTAATCTCATACTTTTTGCCAAAAAAATGCAGATTGAATGAGAAATTAACTCTCAAGAGGAAAATGGTCATTATATGTGAATACTCATTAGATATGCACAGATCTTACCAGTTCTAATTTTGACCTTCCATGGAACCTGTGAAGTCACTCCAAATATTTCTTGGTGGGGGGGAGAGGTTAGAAGGTAAAAGTTCTCCTAATTTCCAAAAAAAAAAAAAAAAAAAAAGTTCTCCTGATTTGTTTCAAACCATTTGCTCCTTACCAGATAACCATTCTTTTTCATTTACTGTAAGACCTTCACACCGTTGTCAAAAACAAAAACCTCGCCAAACTTGCATTCGGGCGAAACGACAGTGCCTGCGTCCCCGTAGATAAGGAAGCTGCACTTACTCAGGAGACAGGAGAGCACTGATTAGTTACGTGAGCCATTTCCACATTCGCGGTTCCCATTCCGAAATCTCGGCCGCGGCGGCCACGCGGAGCGCAGCCCAGGACTCTCCTGGGGCGCTGCGGCCGGGAAGGGACCTTCGGGAGCGCCAGTCGGCGGGTCCCTCTCGGGTCTCAGAGGCCCACAGTCACGAGTGGAAATTCCAGCTCCCGCCTCGGGAAGGAAGGGAGCTCCTGGTCCGGGGACCTGCATCCCGCCCCGCACGCTCCTCTGCGACTCCGAGCGCCTGGGTGTCCCTTTCCCCAGGAGCCGCCGCCGCCACCTGCCCGAGGCCAAGGCAATAACCCGCGGCAAACGGTGAGTCTGGGCCCCGCAGGGAGGGGTGCCGGGGAGCGCCCTGGGTCCTTTCTGCCCCACTGTTTCTGCTCCGACGGCAGCTCCGACACGGAGCCGGGGCCCGCAGGCTGGCTGGGCGGGTCGGCACCCCGCACCCGCGGGGGTCCCGGCGGGCGGGGGAGGAGCGCGGGCCGCGGCCTCGGCCTCCCGGGGGGCGTGGCCCCGCGGCGCCCCGCCCCCGCATCCTCCCCGCCCCGCCCCTCCCCCTCGCCCTTCCACCCGCCCCCGCAGTAGGAAAAGGAGAGGGAGGAGGGTAGGAAAGTGCTGTTCCGTGGAAAGGGGCGGAAGGAGGGGAGGAAAAAAAAAAGAAAAAGGGAACAGAAACATGGCCGTCGGCGGTCTGGACGGCCGTGCGGCGGACAGCTCCTAGGCGCCCGGGCGCCCGCACGGCCGGCCTCGGTGGAGAAGAGGCGCCGCCGCGAGTCCGCGCTCCCGGCCGTTACCCGCGCAGCGCGGCGCCCCCCGAGACCCAGCCCGGAGGCGGCGCAGGCGCAGAGAGGACCGCGGCGGCCGCGAGAGCCAGTCCCCCGCCCGGCCCCGCCAAGGGCGCCCAGGCCGCGAAGCCGGTGCGTCCATGCCCCAGGAAGGGGCCGTGCCCGGGTGGCGCTGAAGGAGCGGCGGCAGGTGAGCGGCGGCGGAGGGCCTTTTGCAGAGGCTCCCCGCGCGCGCCTTCTCGGGGCCCGCGCTCCCGTGCGGGGAGGGCGCAGGGCAGGTAGCCACGCGGGGTGGGGAGCTCCGAAGGCCGGCCTGCGGGGGGTCTCCGAGGAGGCGGAGAGGGGTCGGGGCCGGCGCCCCGGCCTAGTTTCTCCGCGGTTTCCGGGGGCGGGGAGTCCCCGGAACCTGCGGGGCGTGATGGGGGGAGAGGCTGGGCCAGGAAGGGCCTCCCCACGCCACCGCCCGGGCTCCTGAGAACCACTTGCGGGGAAGCCCGGGGATCTGGGCCCTCGGGACTCCCGGGGCGCCTGCCGCCTGGGTGGGGGCAGGGTGGGGCGGGGATGGGGCGTTCGGGCGGGCGCTGCGGCCGGGCGGCGGGAGCTGGGGCTTCTCCGCGGCGAGAACGGGGCGCGCGCGGGCAGGTGTCGCAGGTAAATGGAGAGCATTTCCTCCTCTGCCTGCCGTGGCCGCTCCTGGCGACGTCTTTGTTGGGGAAACTTTTAGAAAGGCAGGTTCCATTCATCGCCGAGTGACTAACCACAAAACCAAAGAATGAGCCCCTAGTGCTGGCTGACTTTTGTAAAGAGCTGTAACGTAACTTTTCTGCATTGAGGATGCTGTTGTTTTTTCTCCCACCTCCCCCCCTTTTTTTTCCTGCTTCGTAGACCTTTTCCCTCCCTAAGGCCGTGCCTCATCAGAACAAATAAGGAATGACCCAGTTTCTAAATAGTACTCCCCTCCACCCCCCCCCCCCCCCCATTATTTGAGTGTTTCACACGGCAAACTTTAGGGCAAGTTATCTCAGCTACGTGTGCGAACGAGAGGGAAAGTGTCACGTCCAGTAATGAACCTCCAGCCGTGTTTGATTTTTGCCTCGGAGAGATTGTCAAGCCTCGTAGTCTGGGAAATGGACTGCTTCATTGAAGCCGCCTGCTTAATTGTGTGCAACCCCGCGCGAAGGCGTTCTCCCCAGGCCCCTGTTTACGGTGGAAGTCGGTCTTCCCTTTCCGACTCTTCGGAAGGTGAAAGGTCTAGTAAGAAAGGGGAGGATGTGGGTGCTAAGGCGCCAAGTTTTCAGGTATTTGATTCGAGGTGATCATGTGCATTAAGCAGCTCTCTGCAACGCAGAGCAGTGTTGTGTGTACACGTGATGAGAGCAAAATTAGTTAGAGAAGGTAAACATTTCTGAGCTTTAGTCCCTCTCTTCTTGATCAGTAGAACCATGACCCCCCCCCCCCCCCCTGCTGAATTTTATTTTGTTGGTACTTCAGTTGAAGAGTTGGTGAAGTGCCTTCTTGGTGTGGGACTGGGAACTCGGAAGTGAACTTGGGTTTGTATTCACGAGGAAGCCTCTCCTGTATGGAGGCTGCTGTGACTCCTTTCTCTAGGGATGGCAAACTCAGGCTACGCTTTCCCCTCGTCGGTGTCTCCGGTGGACATACAGGATTACCCATCTGATCTTTTGTATTACCGATGTTAGCGGACTGATAATGTTTCTCTAGTGCACTACTGTTTAGAATTGTTAATTTGGATAATAGAAAATCCACGACGGAAATGTTGAAGTTGTATTTTGGAGTATTTTACTCGAGAACCATTTGTAAATTAGTGCGTTCTGTTGTGGAAGTACGTATAGTATTTTGTAGTAGAAACTTGAACTTTCAGCTGAAGAAATTGGCATGTGAGGATTGTTCTTAAAACGCAAATGTTTTAAATTACAAGGAACTGCAGTGGTGTGTAGGTTATAACAAGTCCTGGTGCCAGACTTGGAAGTTACTTGTTTGAAGTATTCTCTATAAAGAAACATGTTAAATATCTCTGATAAAAGCTAATATGTAGCTACACATAGGATTTTGCATGATGAATAATAACCCAACCAGGTACCTTTGCTCTTTGTATATCTGTGAGTTAAAGACCAAAACATTTTGTATTTTCGTTGGAGTTTCTTGCCAAGACAGATATTGATTTCACATTGGCTTTGCTGCTCAGTTTTATCCTTGCAGCTTAAGTACAGGTTGTATGTAAAAAGAAAGCTGCTGAGTCAGAGACAGGTTGTCTCACTTGGTCTTTCTGATTTGCAAAACGCAATTTCTGTTCTAGTTTGAATTTCCAATATAATATGTTTACTGAAACTTAGGTAGTAAGGACAAATAAGCTTTCATAATAATACATGGATTAAAATTTTATCTTCGCTATGCTGGTGCCACAATTTATACCTCTTTCAGATTGTCAGTTTGACAGACTTGTAATAATGAGGTGCTTTGTTGGAATTGAAGATACCTTTATAAGAGTTAAAACTGGGAGAAAGAGCTGTAAATAGTACAGCTGGTGTGGAACAGTAGGTCTTTGGCATTATTATTTGAAATCAATAATGTGGTGAAGGCCTGGGGTGGGGGGTCTTGTTAGAGGGTGGGCAAAAGTAGGGAGAATGGGTAACATCTGTAATACTGTCAACAATAAATAAATTAATTTAAAAAATTAAAACTATTTTTGTGCGACAAAGTTAGGTAGTTTATAAAGTTTAATGTTTTTCTACTTATACTTGACATAGTACTGTACTTATATAAATAGGAGTAATAGAGCCAAAATTGGTATTTGAAAATCTTTTTACTGGAAAAGAATGTAACATGATTAAAGGAAATTTAAAGGAAAAAAATTAGTTCTTATCTTACTTTACATTTTTCTGTATACTTTAATTCTATTGTACTTGCATTCTATGTATTTTTTACGTTTTAAAAAAATTACTGCTTTTAGAGAGAGGAAGGGAGGGAGACAGAGATAGAGACAGATAGACCGATCAACATTGATTTGTTGTTTCAATTACTTACGTGCATTCATTGGTTGATTCTTGTATGTGCCCTGATCAAGGATTGAACTGGAAATCTTGATGTGTCAGGACCAGGCTTTAACCAACTGAGCTACCTGGCCAGGGCTGTATAATATATATGTTTAATATTGTTCATTTATTTTATTATTTCTCAATATTATTTTGTATTAGTTTCAAGAGTGCATTGTAGTGGTTAGTACACTTGCATAATATATTAATTGGTATAATATTACTACTTCTATCTATAGTTGTTTATAATTCTGTTGTTAATGTTCATATTGTTGTCTTTTTAAGCATAACGTGTTTTACTGTCACAGTTTATTTAACCCTTTTCTATCTTTGACATTTTAGTAAGTCTACTTTTTATTCTTAAAATAATGCTATAATGAAATCACTTTGCTAACACGATGGTCCAAGCCAAATTACTTTTTACATCTTTGAAAAATAAAGGTTTTTTTGCTGGAATAGTCTTTCTAAAATTTTTCAATTACAGTCTACATTCAGTATTATTATGTATTAGTTTCAGGTGTACATTTTAGTGGTTAGACCAGTGGTTCTCAACCTTGGCTGCACATTAGAATCACCTGGGAATCTTTTTAAAATCCTGACTTCTGGGTCTCAATCAGGATTTTAAAAAGATTCCCAGGTAATTCTAATGTGCAGCCAAGGTTGAGAATCACTGGGTTAGATAATCATATGCTTACTTTAAAATATGTTCCACCTGATGTTTCTGGGACTCATCTGACACCATACATACATAGTTATTACAATACTAGTGGCCTGGTGCACAAATTCTTGCACATTGAAAGGAAATTAATTAGAAGAAATATTTTAGTATCTCTATTCGCCCTTTCTCTATAATAGAAATGTCAACCAAATTCACAATCGACAATGACAGATGCACAAATCAATTTAGCCTTTTATAGATATAGAATAAACTTGCCTAATTAGACCTGCTTTCTGATTTAGCTAAACTTTTTCCAGTCCAGTGAAGCACCCCAACTTCCCTTTCAGGTAATTGTCAGCAACACAGTAGTAAATATCAACATGAAGCAGATTGTTATTGTAGATCACGCAGGGAGAACAAAGGGTAAAATATTTAACTGCAGCAGTGTTTGACTATATTGTACGCAGTGAAAAAACCTGAAGTCATTTTCAAGGTCCACCATTTCTTCTTTTCAGTTGGGTCAAGTTTCTAAGCTTTCTAAATCTCCATTTTCCAGCTAATGAAAAGAAAATAGGATTCTATTGAGCCTCCTATCTACCTACTCCAGGACTTCTGTGAGGATCAAATGAGATGAGGCATGGGAAAACGCTTCACAAACATTTGGTTAAGTGTGAAATGTCTCCACCTGGCTATACAGCAAGTTGTGTTCCTGGGCTGAAGAAACTCCAAGGAGGCTAGTTGCTAGGGAGAGGAAGCTGGATGTTGCTACATGACATCGTTACCCGAGCACCCACAGCCACCATTTCTGGGCTGGCCTGGCTATGGGCCGCATTTTGTGCCATGGCAGCATCGGCTGCGATTTGGTGGGGTGTTGCTCTGGGCTGGTGGTGGGGCCTTGTGTCCCACTTGGGGGAAGCCGAGTGTTGGTTTGTCGGCGCCAGGTCCGTGGTGCCGTTTATTTTTAAACTAGTGGCCCCGTGCACAAAAATTTGTGCACTCGGGGGCTAGGGGGAGTGTCCCTCAGCCCAGCCTGCACCCTCTCCAATCTGGGACCCCTGGAAGGATGTCCTACTGCTGGTTTACAGGGATCGGGCCTAAACTGGCAGTCGGACATCCCTCTCACAATCTGAGACTGCTGGCTCCTAACCAGTTACCTGCCTGCCAGCCTGCTTGCCCCCAACTTCCCCCCGCCACCAGCCTACTCACCCCCAAATGCTGCCCCCCCCCCCCCCCCGCCAGCCTGATCAGCCCCAACTTCCCCCTGTACCAGTGTGCTCACCCCAACTACCCCCCCTGCAGGCCTGCTTGCCCCTAACTGCCCTCACCCCCTGCTGGCCTGCTTGCCCCCAACTGTCCCCCTGCTGGCCTGCTCACTCCAAGTGGCTCCATATTCTATTCCATTTGTGTCCTTTCCACTCCTAAGTTAATGCCATGTCCTTAATATGTGGTTATGAGATGTCTCTGTGACTGAGCTGGGAA